TGAGAATGAAATTAATAATAGAACCAAAAAATTGAATTTAGAAATTGGTTTGGGTTGGGTTGGGCTAGTTAGGCGTGGACTTGACTTGGGAGTTAGAACATTAATAACTAAATTAGTTAATTTGCTAATTTGTTTTTAAAAAAAATTAATTTAATATAAAAAATTATTTAAATTCGATTCTGGGTCTAGAACCGAGAACCGAACCGAACCGAACTCGTCGGTTCTCGATTTAGATACCTGTTCGGATATTTAACTTATGAAGAACCGCTCGGTTCGATTCGAGAGTTTTGTCCAACCCTAGTTTTGTGACTCAAATTAATTTCTTTTATATTTTATTTGTCAAGAAATAAAGTGCAAGAGAAACTTACCAATGGAAGCAGCTTTATAGACCAATGGGCTAATTTGTAAATTTTTATTGTGTTTGTAAATTTATTTGTATTGGAATAGAAGTGGAATGAATTGTGATGAAATGTTGTAAATGTACTTAAATGTGAACTAGTTACAATTGCAATGTTGTAAATGTACTCAAATGGAAGCAATTGCAAAACAATGTGAGCTTCTCTCCCTTCAATTTCTCACTCAAATGTAGCCTAAACCACTCCCAACCCTATAGGAGACCATTACGGTTAGACTAAGGAGCCTTTTGAAAAATGGTCATGCTATATGTACATAGATGTATACATAGGTGTTGACATAATATGAGTGGGGTGGACCCACGCTCCTCACTCACATTATGTCAACCTCTATGGATTACACACATATTAATTCTTAGAAAAATAAGATGTAAAGTATTTTGAGAGAAAGAAACGATCGTGTTTGGTGCACACTTTAGAGTACAACCCTGTTTACATTCATCCAAGTGGTAAATTGTGATTTGACAATATTTTTTTTAAAAAAAGAACTATTTTTCCATCTAATCAATTTTTGACAATTATGCAAGTGTCAAGCATGACATACAAATTCAATGTACAAACGGCAAAGTACAAAAGGAAATACGATATGAAGTTTGATATTTTTAATTGAAGTTAGGCTCTGTGTAGCTTTCTCTTAGAAAGTCACATAAATAATTATTTAGACTTATTTCAGAATAAGACAAAGATGTTCAATTTATTGAAAAAATCCAAATTACATTAAAGGATAAATTGCACTTGGTGACCCTAACCTTTGAAGGTAGTAATTGATGGATCTCAAACTTTTGACTTATAGAATTCGAAGTCCCAAACCTTTCAAGCGTTTACATCTGACTTTCTGTTGTGATTAAAGTTTGATCGTTAAAGGTCAAATATTGAGTAAAATGATAATTAAGGTTCAGGACACCATGTGAAGTTTATCCAAATATAAAAGTAAGAACTAAATATCAATTTAATTATTCGTACATGCACCTTGTAAGATTAACCGGAGATGCGTTAAAAAAAATTCGAATTACATAATATATGACCTTTTAATAAAAGTTACATATAGGGTGACTTTCAAAGGTAGAATCTAGCCAAACGTGCTCTAATAATTAAAAAAAGTGACAGAAAGTAAATGCATTTCCAGAATCATAATTTCCTTCTTCGATACCTTTTAATCAATGCAATTTATACAGAAACACGGTTATGGTGAATTCTTTACACTCTGCACTGCTGCATTAGCCATCGCATGCCTTCCTCTCCGGTACTTCAACTCTCAAACATTTTGCTCCACTGCACACTCGAACAGTTGCAGCAGCTTCATGCCTTAATTATCAAAACATCCCTAGACGGAATCCCCGAAATCCGTTTAAAGTTCCTCCGGCGCAGCACTGAATTTGGGGGGATGGAGTATTCGAATCTCATTTTCAACCAAATGGGCGGCTTTTTAAATACAGAAATCACCCTTTGGAATGCGATGATAAGAGGCTATGCATATAATGGACCCTTTAGAAATTGCATTTCAATGTTTGATGAAATGATTCTTAGAAATCTTAAACCAAATAATTTCACATACCCTTACGTTTTGAACTCTTGCTCTCAGTTGGGATTGTTCAGTAAAGGCCAAAGAGTGCATTGTCAGATAATAAAGTCTGGATTTGTGAGTGCCTTTTCAGTTGGGAATGGACTTTTTGATTTTTATGTAAAAAATATTGATTCTTTACAGATGGGTTTGGGGAAAAGTGGTAGTTTAGATGATGCTAGGAAGATTTTCGATGAAACAGTTTGCATTTTTGAAGCATTATTTATTCCAGTATTCAGATGGGTAGTTTAGATGATGCTAGGAAGATTTTCGATGGTATGTGTGAAAAGACAATAGAATTATGGAACAGAATGGTTGGTAAGTATGCGAGTGTTGGGGATATGACGAGTGGGAGAGAGCTGTTTGATAAAATGCCTGAAAGAGATGTGGTTTCATGGAATACTGTGATTTCTGGTTATGTTAAAGCAGGTGAAACTGTGAATGCTAGAGATTTGTTTGAGCGAATGCCGGAGAAGAATGTGGTGTCATGGACTACTATCGTTGGAGCGTATGCTCATGTAGGTGACCTCAAAACCGCGAGGAAATTTTTCAACAAAATGCCCGAGAGAAATGTGGTTTCATGGAATTGCTTGATGTCGGGTTACGCCCAGAAAGGGGAATTTCAAGAGGCACTCAATCTTTTTGTTCAGATGCAGTTAGAAGGTCTCGAGCCTGATTCTTTCTCCTTTGTTTCAGCTCTATCAGCTTGTTCCAACTTAAGTGATCTTCAGTGTGGGAAATGGGTGCACTCTCTGATGAAAGATTGGCCTAATCTAGGTGTTATAGTAGGGACAGCCCTTATAGAAATGTATGCTAAATGTGGATATATCGATTCTCGTAAATGTATAAAATAGTTCTTTGGAAATAAGGATGTCTTTTGCTACAATGTTATGATCAAGTCTCTGGCTATCCATGGGAGAGCAAATGATGCAATCAGATTTTTTCATCTGATGCAGAAAAGAGGACTGAATCCGAATGACCACACATTTTCTTGCGTGCTGTTTGCTTGCAGTCACGGAGGATTAGTGGAAGAGGGGCGAGAGATTTTCCATAGCATGGGACGACAGTTTAAGCGCAGTCCAAAGATTGAGCATTATTGCATAATGATTGATCTTCTATCCCGAAATGATCATCTGGAAGAAGGGATGTTGTTGATCAATGAGATGCCTGTCGAACCTGACATTGCTACATGGGGAGCTCTGTTAGGTGGATGCAAGGAAAGAGGCAATGTTGAATTGGCAGAGAGTATTGTAAAGAAGGTGATTGAGTTGAAACCAAAAGAAGCTGGAGTTCATGTGCTTTTATCTAATATACATGCTTGGATGGGTAAGTGGTTGGAGGCATTCCATGCGAGAGAAGCTATGGAAGAAAATGGGATATGGAAGAGAACGGGAAGCAGTATCATTCAATGATATTCAAGGACGCCAGGGAAGAAATAACTTTAAGAAGAGAGCATTCAACAAGGTCCTAAGAAGAGAGGTAGAGGCGTAGAGCATAAGCGGAGTTCGTGGTGTCAACGGGTGGACACACTGACCACGCGGGCCTTGCGAGGTTAACAAAATTTTTGGCAAGCCCAACAGGCCACATATTGGGTTGAGTGAGCATAGTAATCAGCACTGACGAATATATACGTATAAGCATATTGTTGCTCAAAAAAGAGGAAAAGAAACCAACTTTCATTAACCATTTAAAAAGGATGATGATGCTATCATATGTATAGTTATGGTTAATTGATCAGAAATGAGAATATATGTTGACAGGTGAAGGTGTTGTCGATTGAGGATGAATTAAGAGTGTAATGATCGGACAATTTTTAAGTAAACATAAAGTTACTTTCATAGGTGTGTGATGCATACTATGTCCCAAGAAGAAGCATGTACCCTTCTCTTTCCTTTTTTTGATGGACAGTGGAGGGTACAAAACACTGACCTAAATTGTGAAATAATAATCCTTAACCGAGACGATGCGAATTGGTGAAGAAGCCCAAATCTCGTTAAGTGTCTAATAGCTTTAAATCTTGCAACACATCTTGCAACAAATCAACACGATAATGAAAAACGATTCATATATGATACATTTAAAAGAAAACAGTCTTTGATGCCCTCGTTTATTTATTTAATATGCAATACCGAACATAAAACTAAACAAGATTTTGACTTCTTTTAATTAACGTTGTTATATCAAATATATGGCAACAAATAAGCAGTTCAGTTTTAGTTTCTAATGGAATGTATAAAGATTCAAACATAATTGACACTTGTGCTTTTAGCAAAACAATTATAATCCCTTCATCTCTTAGAATCGGTTATGACATATTACAATGAAACAATACTCAAAATGACAGATATAAATAGTAGGTAGGCAAATAACAACTAAAACTAAATAATCACTAACCAAGTAAACCATTCTAAACTTGGATCTAACAATTACATGATACATTTGACAACAGTCAAAGATTACACCTGCTAGAAATTTGTTGCTGAATGAAAATTGAAATTGTCATCTGCCCTTAGTCTGAGTTACATCTGGCTAGAACAAGTTTGCAGGGACCACATTAATAAGCCCAGTAACAATGCAATCCTGTTCCTGTGCCAACGGGCATATTTGGTGCGCAAAATTAGACATGCCAAGAGAACACTTGACAATTCTTACACTGAATCCCCTACAGCAATCTAAACATCAAATCGCATTTCTGTTTCAAGCAAAATGCTCAATAGTGTTTCCAAGCCATAAGAGCAGGTCAACAAGTTTTGGAAACAAAAAAAGACTTCATGGTAGTGTGAGACTATCATAAAGCCATCTTCCATAAACCAATGCTGCGGAAAGAATCCAGGCTCGCAGATGAAAATTCGAAATCAAACATTAAAAGAAATAAAACCAGTAATTTGGAGTTCAGTCTATTCTAGAAGAGAGGTCATGGTTATGGTGATGGATTTGCTCAGTTGACCACAAAATTGGGTCTTGTACAGTTACAGATTTGAATTCTCCAGGTGCATTCTAGCTTCATACGAGTTTCTACGAAGAATCTATGACTGGATCATGTTGAACTGGAAACGGGATAGTTGCTGCGGAATGGTGGAAATAACAGGTCCGTATCTCTGATACAGAAAACAAGGAGCGGAGCATTTATGATTATGTGATACCATATAATGATGATCTTTTCCACGAACACTTACAGAAAGAGTGAAAGCAAATCCTATGTTCCTGCCATAATTTTAGTGGAGACAGGACGAGGAGAACAAAACAAGCAAATGAAATATAATCCAATGAGCTAAGGCAAGAATATCTACACCTGAACATTGTCATAGAGTTCAAACAACGGAACAGCAAGAAGTTTCAAGTTCTTCGGAACAGCGAAGTACTCTTTCTCTGACAGATGAACAATGAAAAGCTTCTTGCACTCCTACATCATGAATAATAATATATGGTCAGCTGCATTGATGCCAAAATGCATGTATACTATGGAAGGATGTTTGCTGGTGATATTACCTTCGGTTTTGTTATATGTGGAGGGCAGTAAGGATACATTATGGTTTCAAAATTTGGTCTCCACCATGTTGCCACACATTCACCAATCTGCAATGAATGTTACATCCAAGAATGAGAAAGGAGAATCAAGTAAATATACAAATAAATATCTTTAAAGAAAAGGCAAACGAAAGAGAGACGTGTCAAAGATCATGATTCAGCTCAAGTGTACAGCAATTAAGATACATTCACATATTCAGCCTTAGTTTCTCAGATGTGGCATATAGAGTAAATAAAGCGAACTCATGTGACATTCATCCTTCCTTCCTCAGCTGTATACATCCAACCAAAACACTTGGCGGGCTATGGAATATCAATCATAGAACGTTTAGTTCTGCATACTATACATCACACATTCCTTTCTACATGAATAATCTCTAAAGCAGGTTGAAATGTTGAACTACATTTTCCCTTTCCAAACTCTACTCCTGACTATTTCTACCACACACTTAGGTCAGATGATTATTCCATAAAGAATTACCTGCCAATCTGGCTCAAGACCAGGTGAATTCGCAGCGAGTTTGCTAGAAAGTTTCCTTTTCAAGCCCTCAATTTCTACAAAATGATGTAAAATATATTTAAAGATAAATAAAGTAACATCAATAAAAACTCAAAAAGTCCATTGCCAGAAGCCGGGTTGTATTTTTTGCTGTTCTTGTTAGTAAATAAGCAGGAAGAGAATGTAACAATAGACTTTTTTAAGAGGGAGTGGACAGTTGTACCATTCTCTCCCAGCTTCAGTCGGCCACCTGGGAGTTTACAGAATGTATTTCCAATTTGCAGAAGAAGAATATGAGGATGATTATGCTCTTGTACCTATAGGAGGGAACCATGTTTTTCGATTAGCTATATGGTCATATTACTTACCAAGTGCTAAGTTAATATCATAATGAAAGAGCCATTGGAAATATAACAAGGTAGAAATTCTCAGTGCAAGTTCAAATGTTATAAGACAATTCAGCAGTAAATAGCCTATTCAGAGATCTTATATATAACGTAAACTATAATGCGACACGATACTTCTGCTATTATATATAACTAAAAGACCCAAAAATATTCTATCAAAATTTCATTTGCAAGTTCTGCTGGACAATAAATTAAATGTTCTTTTGCCAAGTTCTAAGGTTAGTAAGTATCAAGGATTTCAAAAAAACTCCTGAACAATATTTAATCACACAATGGACATGGTTGCAGCAAGAAGGCTCAAATTCCAAACCGTTTTGATCAACAACAAAACCAACTAAATTAAGAATATTATAAATAAAGTAAAAGAGGGTATTTATTATCGTTCTAATCCTCACTTTCAGAGATCTCTAACATCATAAAAAGGAAGTTGCACACCAGGATCCCTATAGTAGATAGTAAATAGCTCTGACCATTTGGGGCGTCCCTTCTTTATGCACAACGAATATAACGACAACTACAAACTAAATCTTGACATCAATATATTTGGAGTTGGCTACATGAATCCTTATTCAACATTTCTGCTATTCGTTAGTAGATCTAGTGGGAGATCCAACAACTAGATCATCAGCAATGACTGTTAATTTTGATGCATTCCTCTCCTCCTAACTTACTGACCAAAATCATCTCATTCTTAAGTAAATATTTATTATTTTGAAAGTAATTCTTATCTAAATGTCAGGAGAAGTAAATTGCTTAATTTTAATTTGCATAACTAAAAAATTACTTATTTACTCACGAGTAAAATTTTTAAGCTTAGCAAACACGCTCTTAGCAGAAGCAAAGCAGTTACAGTTCCATCCAGCATGAAAGAATCAGAAAATTACAGCGATATCGCTCAATAATTGAGTTATTTCATAATAATATATACATATATACACATTTGAGTACGGGGAGATGGAGAAATCAGTACATACCAACAAAACTCCTTCGACGCTAGTCCTCATCCCCTCCTTCATGTAACTGAAACTCAAAACCGAAACAAAACACATCAAAACAATCGAAAACACAAATACAACGAACAGGCATAAACCCTACGCAATATCAATTAATTCGATCTATGTAGGGTTGAACAATCACAGCAAAAACGCACTTGACTTTCATGCGGGCAAGGCGATCGGCAACGGAGGTGTCTTTCTCCATTTTGGGCTCTTTGGCACCGAAAGTGTAGCTTGACAGTGGATACGTATTCACCACTGCTGACGACACCATTTTCGTTCTCCGTAATTTTTCAACTGGCAAAGCGGGAAAGGAAAGAGGCAATACAGAAAGGGGCCTTGAGAACGTGGCTTATGTGTATTTATTGTACTCGTATGTACATGTGGTATCCTATCATTGGTGGAAAAAAAATAAGTTTTTTTAATAGTGCCACGTATAAATTATGAAACGCAGAACTCCAGGATTAATTCAAAGAATTTTGAAGTAATTTACATTTTTCAGCTAAAAAATAATCTTTTTAAAAAAAAAAAATTACTCCTTCGGCTCCGTTTTTTCAAAAAATCAATTTTTTTCAAAAGTCATTTTCAATCATATATTTTTATAAAATAATTTTACACATAAATCTAAAAAAATTCTTCTTTTTAACCACACATTTCCTGCATATTTTCTCAAAAAGGAGGGTCAAAGAAGAATATATTGGGATAGTAATGGGGGCGTTAATGATTGAGCCAAGTTGTGTCGACTAATGCATTAGCCGCTCATCCCATAACATTATTATATTTTTAAAAATCATTAAATTTAACCTATATTTGTTTCCCTTTTTTTAAAATTACATTTTTCTCTCTTATTTTCAACCACACATTTTTAATAAAATAATATCACACGTAAATTCTAAATTTTTTCTCATTTTTTAACTACATATTTTTTATCAATTCATTATTTCAAAATGCATTTTTGACTAAAAATTGGCTCAAACAAGATCTTAATATATTCACCTTGAGAGCGAGGCTTGAGCCAAACCTCGTGAACCGCCTTGTACAGAAAATGCTACCTCGAATCGCCCTGCAACTCAATCTCACATGTTATGTTCTTACTCTCTCTTTCTGACTCGTATTCCATCTCTGTATTACAATGTTGAACACTTTTGCTCTCGAAAAAGGTCTGCCTCATTGTCATGCATTATTAAGATCTCTTAATAAATTTTCTCAAGAATGATTGATTAGGGAAAAGTCGATTTGATTCCCAATCACCAGTCGATATAGTGTGTATTATATCAAACAATATTATTTGATGCAGTCTCCTTTGTTTTACTTCATCTTGTGCTTGTTGGAAATATTCTTAACATTTAGAATAAATTTAAACAAAATTTTCAATTCTCATCAAAGATCTTTTTTGTTTCAATCTGTATTTAGAATAATACCTTGAATAAATTCCGCAAACTCCTTTGCTAATCTTGGAATGTGAACAATTACTATCTGCAATTCACAATTGTCCAATTGTTCAGCATCCAATAAAAATCCACATGGGGCAAAAGAATGATAGAATTGATGTTTCTATTTTCTTGAGCTGGCAAATAATGAATTGTATTCCATTTTTCTTAAACTCTAATAGCTTATTAATATAAATTTAAGTGGATTTTACTCATCTCTTAAACTTAATTTGATTCAATATTTAATTAATTAATTAATTATATTTGGCCCATGAATTGATTAGTCCAATTAATTAATTTGAGTATGTTAATGGGCAATCCAATTAATTAATTATCCAACATTTGTTAATTAATTGGTGAATCTCATTCTTCCAGTTCTCATTTTGTGTGTGACACATTAGATTCTCGATCAAGATACCTAACAACGTAAATTATTATTTTGATATAATCAAAATCGATAAATTAAAATACCCCATTTTAATTTATCATCAATTCACATTTGTCCTAACAATATATCAGGATAATACATGTGAAGGAAAATGTCACATGGTATGACAAAATGAAACTTGTTCATTTATCGTGAAAATATAAAAAATCTTTTTGGATTTATGAGTTCACCTTAAACAAGGATTTCGTTATCAACTTAATTGAATGAAATATAAATCATAATATCTTACTATGTAATAGTGACGAATCATCTATTGATCATTTATAATATTCATATGATTTTCAACATACTCGAAGGATATCATATTAACGACTCTTGACATAGCATAGAGACTGCAAAAAAGCTTACCGACATGGCCAAGAAAAAGCGTGGCCCGGACTTGTCATCGAGCCCGGCCCGTGTCATTCGAGCCTGACAAGCTACCTGTTTTAAAAAAAAAAAAAAAATTAAATAAAGCTATCATAGGTGCCTGCATGTAGCTCTTGACGTTATTTCGTTGGTAGTTTGTTTAGGGGCCCACCTGGCCCCAAGTAGTTTGGAAACTATGAATTGATGTTATTTCGTTGTGTATTGTGTGCATGACGTGTCCATAATGTGTTGGTGGGCGCCATGAAAATGAGTTTTAATTCTGGGAATGGAAACAGCAGAAGAGACAGTATTATGTATTTATTTTCCATGAGATGGTAATAAAAAATTGAGTAAGGTGGTATATATTCTTTGAGGGTCAAGGCATATTTATTTCAGATCCAATAATGCAATTTGGCTTGTAGATATGGGGGTTGTTGTGGCGGGTTTGGTATTTAATTAGGGAAAATGGGTGGTTGTATTTGAAAATTGGATACCGAAATTTAGGTCCTGTTTGGGAGGGATTAGATTTTTCTACAGTAAATCAACCACACATTCTTCAATAAAATAATATTTTCTATCACATCAATAATTTCTTCTTCTTTTTCAACCACACTTTTCCCATCATATCACTATTCAAAATCAATTCTTCCTCAGAAAATCTCTCACAAACTAGCTCTTATAATTGGAATTGAGAATTGAATCTCAACAGGGGTGCACATTTTATGGGGAGCCGCACAATTTGTAATAGAATCCTACCAATGACGACAGTCGGTTCCAAATTCGAATAAAGGAGGGTGGTTTAACTTTTATTTAATTTATAGTACATATAAGTTGTACAAATTTTAAATTCTTTAAGAAAAAAATTTAGATTTGACACGGGAAAAAAAATCGAATCGGCTTGGCCAAGCTTTTACTCGGCTCAGGCCAAAAAAAGTTCAGGCCTTTTTGGCTCGAACCGAGCATGAGCTTCGAGTTTCGACTCGTTGCCATCACTAGCAGAGCAACATCCAATATTACCAAAGTATAACTATCTTCATATAGGGCACTATGATGACTTCAAGTAGAATGACCAATTCCAGGGACGGACGCAGACTTTTTATGTTGGGGGACACAATCAAACTTTCAAAAAGTGACGAAAAAATTAAAGTAAGAGATATTTTATTACAATTGTTCTCTACGTATTCTCATATTTTGATAACGTTCCATAATTAAAGTGGGAAATAGAGAAAAAATTAATGTAATTTCGTAATTCAAATCAACAAAGAAATTGAGTATACAATCTTGGTCATCAAGAGCTACACAAA